TGCCTGGCTATTTTTGTTGTTGTTGCAGTTTGGCTGGGGCCCAGGTTCAAACCTGCTACTCTTGGTATATGAGGCTGGCGCCCTATTCACTGAGCCACAGGTGTCGCCCTCCCTGAATGTTTTTTATATTGTTTTTTACACTGAGGGCTGTATTCAATAGTTTATACAAAGAACTAACTCATTATTGACCCCTGAACAGTTCATCCTGGGAGGATGACTCAAGCTAAGGTCTGGACAAAGTCACAACATATAAGTTTAATCTGTGGAAACTGAAGGAGTGTTTAAGACCAAGCCACATAGATAATGATTAAATCAAATATGCTTGCACACAGGCAAAAAAAGAAAAGAAAAAATCAAATGTGTGGGTGGCACCTACAGTTCAGCGGGTAGGGTGCTGGCCCCATATACTGAGGGTGGAGGGTTCAAACCCAGCCCCAGCCAAACTGCAAAAAAAATATAGCCAGGCGTTGTGGTGGGCGCCTATAGTCCCAGCTGCCAGGGAGTCTGAGGCAAGAGAATCGCCTAAGCCCAGGAAATGGAGGTTGCTGAGAGCTGTGTGAGCCACGGCACTCTACTGAGGGCGATAAAGTGAGACTCTGTGTCTACCAAAAAAAAAAAAAAAAAAAAGTGCTTATGTAATTAAGCTTTGATAAAATTCTGGACATTGAAGCTCTGAGGAATTTCCTGAGTTGTTAACACTCCAAGCACATATTGCTATATTCCAAGGCTAGGAAACAGGGAGTCCCTGGACAAAGGCTTTGTGCTGGGAAATTTTCCAGCCTTTACAAAGAGAGGCTATTACAGTAAGTCCCCAAGTTACAAACTTCTGGATGATGTACGACTCACACTTATGGACAAGGGGTATTACAGGGAATGATTAACTAGACCTATTCCAACTTATTAGAAATTCAACTAAAGAACAAATCTACAGAACATATCTCATTTGTAAAACAGGGACTGCCTGTACTACTAGAAAATCTAGAGGCAATAAATAAAGTTTCTGAAACATACAACTTCCCAAGCTAAATCGGGAATAAACAAGAATTATCAAAAAACCAATAAAAGGGTGGTGCCTGTGGCTCAGTTATGTAGGGTGCCGGCCCCATACACTGAAGGTGGCAGGTTTGAACCTGGCCCTTGCCAAACTGCAACAAAAAAATAGCTGGGCGCTGGGGCAGGTGCCTGTAGTCCCAGCTACTTAGGAGGCTGAGGCACAAGAATCATTTGAGCCCAAGAGTTTGAGGTTCCTGTGAGCTATGATGCCACAGCACTATAGAGGGTGGCAAAATGAGACTCTTAAAAAAAAAAAAAAGACCAATAATAAGAGATTGAAACAGTAATAAAGAATCTGGTTAGCTTGGCGCCTGTAGCTCAGTAGCTAGGGTGACAGCCACATACACTGGAGCTGGCGGATTCAAACCCAGCCCAGGACTGCCAAATAACAACAAAAATAGCAGGCATTGTGGTGAGCGCCAGTATGAGGCTGAGGTAAGAGAACTGCTTAAGCCCAAGAGTTAAAGGTTGCTGTGAGCTGTGACACTACTGAATTCTACCACACCTACAAAGAACTGGCAACTATCCCACCTGTCCTACTGACACAGTTCTATAAGATCAAGAAGGGAATACTCCCAACTCATTCTATGAAGCTAGTTATCACCCTGATAAAAAGCCAGGAAAGAGCACAACAAAAAAAGAAAACTACACACAGATGCAAAAATTCTAGCAAACTAAATTCAACATCACATCAAGAAGATAATTCACCATGATCTAATGGGTTTCATCTTGGGGAGGCAAGGATGTTTAAGCATACCCCAAATTAGTAAGTATGATTCACCACATAAGCAGAAGTAAAAACAAAACCCATATGATTACATGAATAGATAATGCAGAAAAAGCATTTGATAAATCCAGCACCCTTTCATGATAAAAACCCTGAACAAACTAGGCACAGAAAGAACATACTTCAAAATAATAAAAGCCATACATAACAAACCTTCAGCCAACATTATACTGAATGGGGAAAAGTTGCAAACACTCCCCTTAAGAACTGGAACAAGAGATAAGGACGCCCACTGCCACCACTCCATTCAGCATAGTACTGAAAGTCCTAACCAGAGCAATCAGGCAAGAAAAAGAAATAAAAAGCACCTAAATCAGGAAAGAGAAGGTCAAACTATCTATTTACCAAAGATATGACCCTGTATCTAGAAAACACTAAAGACTCCACCAGAAGACTCTTAGAATTGATAAATTCAGTAAAGTCTCAAGTTATAAAATTAAGATACATAAATCAGTTTTATTTCTATACCATCAAGCTGACAGTCAAATTAAGAACTCAGTAACATTTGCAATAGCTGCAAAGAAAATAAAATACTTAGGAATATACTTAACTAAGGAGGTGAAAGATCACTACCAAGAAAACTACAAAACACTGATGAAACAAATCATATGAGGTTGAGGTTGGGCAGTTAAATTTACAACTCATCCTAGAAAAGGTGTTACATATTTCCTTGCTGAATATCACTACAGTGAACTTCAAAGTACTCTCTTTGACCATTGGTGATGGTAGCTGATACTTACCAATGAGGTATGTAGCACTTTATCTAGGAAGAGTTCTTTTTTTTTTTTGGAGACAGAGCCTCAAGCTGTCCCCCTGGGTAGAGTGCCATGGCACATAGCTCACAGCAACCTCCAACTCCTGGGCTCAAGCAAGGCTCCTGCCTCCACCTCCCAAGTTGCTGGGACCACAGGCGCCTGCCACAACGCCTGGCTATTTTTTGGTTGCAGCCATCACTGTTGTTTGGCAGGCTCGGGCTGGATTCCAACCCGCCACTTTAGGTGTATGTGGCTGGTGCCTTAGCCACTTGAGCCACAGGTGCCGAGCCCTGAGAAGAGTTCTTGAACGTAACTGTCCAACTTCACAGTTGACAATTTGGAAAAACATCCCATGCTTAGGGATTGCAAGAATCAACATTGTTAAAATATACATGCTTCCCAACGTAATTTAAAGATTCAGGGTGGCAACGGTGGCTCAGTGAGTAGGGCACCAGCCCCATATACCGAGGGTGGCGGTTTCGAACCTGGCCCGGCCAAACTGCAACAAAAAATAGCCGGATGTTGCAGCAGGTACCTGTCATCCCAGCAACTTGGGAGGCTGAGGCAAGAAGAGAATCACCTAAGCCCAGGAGTTGGAGGTTGCTATGAGCTGTGTCGCCATGGCAATCTCCCGAGGGCAACAAAGTGAAATTCTGTCTCAAAAAATAAAATAAAATAAAATAAAGATTCAATGCCATTCCTTTCAGAGTACCGACATTTTTCGGACAAATCTAGAGAAAATAATCCTAAACTTCATATGTAATAAAAGAGCCCAGGCTTGGCGCCTGTAGCTCAGCAGCTAGGGCACCAGCCACATACACTAGAGCTGGTGGGTTCGAGTTCAGCATGGGCCTGCCAAAGAACTATTGACAACTACAAGCAAAAAACAGCCTGGCGTTGTGGTGGGTGCCTATAGTCCTAGCCACTTGGGAGGCTGAGGCAAGAGAATCGCTTAAGCCCAAGAGTTTGAGATTGCTGTAAGCTGTGATGCCACAGCACTCTACCAGGGGTGACATACCGTGTTTCCCCGAAAAATAAGACCTATCCCCAAAATAAGCCCTAGCAGGATTTCTATGCATTTGTGAAATATAAGCCCTACCCCAATAATAAGACCTAGTGATGGGTGTGGCTATGCAGTGTATCATTTCGGCGCAGAGTGGTAAGGAAGACTGGAATACCTTTTATCTGCCACAGCTCCTTTCTCCAAGCTGTTTGCACTTGCACAGGTAACTGTGGTCACAGGCATCCTATTGCGCACGTGTGAACAGGTAGGGAAAAGGTGTTCACGCATCACTAGCACCCAGCTTCCAGAATAAGATGACTTAACTGTATTTGAATAAATGTAGATTGTCGTATTCATAGGACAGATGCAGTGGCTTACGCCTGTAATCCTAGCACTCTGGAAGGCCAAGGCAGGTAGATAACTTGAGCTCAGGAGTTTGAGACTAGCTTGAACAAGAGCAACACCCAGTCTCTACTAAAAATAAATAAATAAATAATAATATAGAAAAACAACAACAACAACAATAAACTAGTTGTAGTCCCAGCTCCTTGGGAGGATAAGGCAAGAAGCATCACTTGAGCCCAAAAGTTTATGGTTGCTATGAGCTATGATGCCATGGCACAATATCCAGGGCTAATGAAGTAAAACTCTTGTCTCAAAAAAGAAAAGCTCAGCGCCTGTGGCTCAAGTGGCTAAGGTGCCGCCACATACACCTGAGCTGGCAGGTTTGAATACAGCCCTGGCCCACCAAACAACAACGATGGCTGCAATCAAAAAATAGCCAGGCATTGTGGTGGGCACCTGTGGGAGGCAGAGGAAGGAGACTCGCTTGAGCCTAGGAGTTGGAGGTTGCTGTGAGCTGTGATGTCATATCACGCTACACAAGGGCAACAGCTTGAGACTCTGTCTCAAAGAAAAAAAAAAGTAAAAAATAAAACAAAAAGAAAAGGGGTGGCACCTGTGGCTCAAAGAACTGGCACGCAGACCCCATATACCAGAGGTGGTGGGTTCAAACCCAGCCCTAACCAAAAACTGCAAAACAAAACAAAACAAAACAAAAAGAAAAGGCACATAAATCAACTGAACAGAATAGAGAATGCAAAAACAAAGCCTACAACCAACTGATTTTAGACAAAGCAAACAAAAATATATGCTGGGGAAAGGATGTCCTATTCAATAAATGGTGCCAAGAAAATTGGATAGCCACATGCAAAAGAATGAAACTGGATATCTATTTATCACCATACAAAAATTAACTCAAGATGGGTTTTAAAGAATTAAATGTAAGACCTAAAACCATAACAATTCTATAAGAAAAGAGGAAAACCTGTCCTAGGCAAACACTTTAAGACTTTAAAAACAAACACAATTAACAACAAAAATAAATAAATGGGAATTAAAAAAATTTCTTTGAGGCAAAGGAACAGAGAAACTACAGATAAGAGGTGATGTGAACACTAGATAACCAATCAATACAAGGAAGCAGACTTTACAGTCAACATTAAAATGTGCTAACACATTAGGGTACATATGCTGAGATATCAGTGCCTGGCAAACAGTTAAGTGGATGGATTACCACACCATCAAATTGATGAAGATGGAGATGCTGAGTTGTCAGAGGTGGCAGCCAATCTCCTAATCTGCTTGGATGGCAGGACCATTCAATGAAAACTGGGAGGTGGTAGGAGTGAGCAGATCATGGGTTCCTATTAAGGCATGTTGACCTTTGGGCTTTTGAGATACTCAAGTAGAGATGTAGAATTTAAAAGGGGAGAAGAACTAGAATGTGCTATGAAGGGCTGAAGAGATACAGCACTAAAATAACTCAAGGGCTGGCTCAGTGGCCTGATGGACTAACATAGACGGAAGACCATGATTTTCTAGGGATACCAATGAACATACCAGAGTTGCTGCCAGTGCCCTCAGCAGTTCAGGTTTGGGATAGAGAAGGCTAAATATCACCTTGATATTCTATAACACAGGAGATGGAGGAAGATAAGGGCAAAGACTGCTTTAGTGTCTGACACTCAGAGAATAAGTTGATAAGGAAGGAAAGGGTGATAGGATATAGCTGGAGAGAAAAATTGGGAGAATAAGAAAGGCCTTTTTCCTCAAAGTTCAGAAGGAAATGTGAAATAACATTTTTCATTATGACTACTGTAACTTGAAAAATACTCATAACTTAATCTGATGAGTTAATTATTATGGCTCACTGTACTATTTTATGCATTAAGGAGGAATTGCATGACTACACTGCCAAACAACCCAATGATATAAAACCTATTATTACTACCATTTTTCAGAGGACAGAATGTAGTAGATTTGAGTATATTGCCAAACGATTTGCTTTTTTTTGGACACAGCTCAGCCACATTTCCCAGATCTGTTGCAGCCCCCATAGCCAAAACCCTAGCTTCTGCGCTTAGAATGTGAAGTGAGTTTGTGCTTTTGGAAGTGGTTGCTACCACCTTTGCTCTTAATTATCTCACAGTGTATGTCAACACAACCTTAAACCAACAGGCTGATGAAGGCACCCGAGTTCCTGAATTACTGTGTGCTACACAGTTCTCCATAGATACACGCACACCTTGGTATGAATGAGAAAAAAGTTTTCTTATGCTGAAACCCTGAGATTTTGGAGTTTGTCTGACACAACAGCTCCATTAACTTAACTGAACTTTACATTCAAAGATGTAAGATCATACAACTTCACTAAAGCCACAGAGCTGGTGATCACCAAGCCAGGTTTCAGGCCCACACTGCTGAAGCCCTGAGGCAGATCTTAGATCAACCTCACTTCTCCCTAAGGGTGAAGGTATGGGTGATGGGGCTGGGAAGACAGAGGTACCATGAGTAAAAGGGCTCTAGGTCTCCCAAATTCCTAGAGAGGCCACAATTAAGAAGCTCCCCTGAGATTCCAGGGCCAGTGGTCTTTACCCAGCCCTGAGCCTGCAGGGCCCCCCAGCTACCTGGACCTTGGTTCCTACCTGAACAGGGTCCTTGGAAGAGGTCTTTCCTCACTGTCCATGGTGTCTGTCCATGCTCTAGCTGGTAGATCAAGACAGGTCTGGGAATAGGACACCCTGTACATGGAGAAAGCAATTGGACACATGGATTGTGACAAAAATAAATAAAGACCCTTCACCCATTCTGGGACTTCAGGATGGGGGATCAGACCATGGAATGAAGTTACTCCCATCTGCACAAACAAACATCTGTTACATGACCCAGAAGCCAAAAGCATGCCATGCTGTGCCGCCAGGATAGGTCTACTCTTAACAGCAAGTCAAAACCTAATATTTATAGATTATAACCATGTCAAAGAAACTGTGCCAAACAATATACATGCATTACATTATTTAAAAATTGAACTTTATGGAATACTTTAGAGAAAAGCAGACATATTTCAAATATTGCCTCATTTTATTCAAAACAAAGCATGTATCTTCTTCACTGATCCCAGTCCTTTATGACTTCCTTAGCAATGCATTATAGAATTCTTCCTCTAGACCACAGACTGAAGGACAATCCTACCTGAGGATTTTCTCACAGCATCCCCAGGACATCTACATTGCTATCAACACTATTTTACAGGTAATGAAAATCAGGCTTGGGCAGATAAAGTGATTTCTGAAGAATACAGAATTGGTGAGTGGCTGAGCCAATAAGGAAACCCAGGGCCTAGCCGTCTACACTCTCTGTGCTGTTCAAACACAAAGCTTCCCAACAATGCCCAGAATGTGATGCATCCATGCATGATGATGATGATAATCATGGTGAGAATGACAGCAACAGTACTGGTGGCAGCAGGGATCCCAAGGCGCCTCCTTCCCCACCCCCACACATAGCCTGGTCTCCCACGCACTATCCTGAGCCTTTTTCATAGAATAATCTTTTTAGGCTCGGCGCCTATAGCTCAACTGGCTAAGGCGCCAGCCACGTACACCTAAGGTGGCGGGTTCGAATCCCCAGCCCGGACCGGCCAAACAACAATGACGGCTGCAACCAAAAAATAGCCGGGCGTTGTGGCGGGCGCCTATGGTCGCAGCTACTTGGGAGGCAGAGGCAGGAGACTCGCTGGAGCCCAGGAGTTGGAGGTTGCTGTGAGCTGTAATGCCACGGCACTTTGCCCAGGGGGACAGCTTGAGGCTCTGTCTCAAAAAAAAAAAAAAAAAAGAATAATCTTTTTACCCTGGACACAGCCAGAGAAGTATATTGGACAATTGCTCACCTCACCAAAGAGCACACTGAGATACAGGTAGTTCAGTAACTTGCCCAAAGAATATTCTGTTTCATGAGCAAAGAAATACATGGAGACCATGTAGGAAGTGGTGAGTCTAAAAAATGAGAATTTGTGGGAAGAAGGCAAGGCAGATTCCAGAGGCCTTCCAGGCTGGATGGTAAAGACCAAGAAAAAGGAGTTGGCAGGTCCACTGCATAATGCAGGGGGAAAGCCTTACCCAGAGACATCAGAAGTCTACAGTTTTCCAGCATCACCTCCTGGTACAGGGTTCGCTGAGCTGGGTCCAGTTGCCCCCATTCCTCTTTGGTGAAAGTCACAGCTATATCATCAAAGGTCACAGAAACCTGGAAAGTCAAATACAGGTAGTAGCATTGGCCTTTGAGGGGCTGAATGTGATTAGAGGTTGCCTATGCTTCACTGGAAAAGGCATAGGGATCAAGGCATGAATCAATGAGTACCTGTTAAGTTCCAAGCTCTGTGCTGATCTTAAAGGCAAGAGGATGTTGTTTTGGAAATAATATACAGAGTAAGGGAATGAAGCCTCCTATATGGGAGCCATTAGAGAACAACATAGAACAATGGGAACCTGTCAACTCTGAGACATAGACACTAAGGACTCTAAGAAATGAGGGGAATAAGGAAATAGTGATGATGATAATAATGGAAGTAATGGGCTCGGTGCCTATGGCTCAAGTGGCTAAGGCGCCAGCCACATACACCTAAGGTGGCAGGTTCAAATCCAGCCCGGGCCCACCAAAACAACAATGATGGCTGCAACCAAAAAATAGCCAGGCGTCATGGTGGGCGCCTGTGGTCCCAGCTACTTGGGAGGCTGAGGCAGGAAACTCGCTTGAGCCCAGGAGTTGGAGGTTGCTGTGAGCTGTGATGCTACAGCACTCTACCCAGGGGGACAGCTTGAGGTTCTGTCTCAAAAAAAAATAATAATAGAAAGTAATGCTAACAACAGTAGTACTTCAGCCTCACTGGCTCAGCTAAGTGCCTGTCTCACAGTGAAGGCTTCACAACCCAAGTCAAAAAGACCAAAAGTCCCCAACTTTGAAGTCAAACTCTTGGGGTTTGAATTCAAACCTCTGATGTCTGGTGGCTGTGTTATCTCCTAGACAATGGTTTACTTCGCTGACTCCTGATGTTTGAATCAAGAGAATAATAGTTCCCACTTCACCAATAACAGTTTTGAGATTTAAGGGAAAAATTAAGGTCAGGTATGGCGTGGTGGCTCACACCTGTAATCCTAGCACTCTGAGAGGCCAAAATGGGCGGATCACTTGAGGTCAGTAGTTCATAACCAGCCTCAAAAGTGAGACCCCCCCCATCTCTCGAAAAAGTAGAAAAATGAGCCAGATGTGGTGGTGCATACCTGTAGTCTGAGCTATTCAGCAGGCTAAGGAAGGAGAATTGTTTGAGCCTAGGAGTTTGTTGTTGTTGTAAGCTATGATAACACCACCATACTCTAGGTGAGGGTGATGACAAACCCAGAGTCTGTCTCAAAGGAAAGAAAGAGAAGAGAGGAAAGAAAAGAAAAAAGAAAAAGAAAGGGCCAGGTGTAATGGCTCACGCCTGTAATCCTAGCACTCTGGGAGGCCAAGGCAGGTAGACTGCTTGAGCTCACAGGTTCGAGACCAGCCTGAGCAAGAGACCTGGTCTCTAAAAATAGCTGATCATTGTGGCGGGTGCCTGTAGTCCCAGCTACTGGGGAGGCTGCAGAAGAGAATCACTTGAGCCCAAGAGTTTGAGGTTGCTGTGAGCTATGACACCACAGCACTCTACCAAGCGTGGCAAAGAAAAAAGAAAGGGAGGAAGAAAGAGAAAGAAATATTATTCAGGGCTTTGTGTGTTCTGGGATTTTTATTAATCCTCCCACAGCCCCTGGAATCAATCCAGTTATCATCTTCATTTCACTGTCAATGACTTCAGGTTAAAGAAGCTTTACCTTGGGTGGCGCCTATGGCTCAAGGAATAGGGCGCCAGCCCCATATACCGACCCTGGCCAAAAAACTGCAAAAAAAAAAAAAAAAAGAAAGAAAAAGAAAAGGAAGCTTTACCAATTTACCTAGAGTCATGCAACCTACAAGATCCTAGAGGGTTTAGGACAATGCTGGACCAGGACAAACAGTGTAACTTGACACTTCATCATTATACTGAATCTAAAGTAATGAGACTATAAAGCATTTCTTCTGTTTTTGCTAAAAATGAGTGTTTAAATCTATTTCAATTACCCGCGAAAATCTATGAACATGGATAAAGGAAACTGAGCCTTCATCACTGACCTCCAAAAAAAGGCATCAAAAAGGGTGGCATGTATTTCGGGAATAACAGGGCCCAGAACAGCTTCTCACAACCCCCGCACTCTACCTGGACCTCCCAGACTCTTCCGGGAAATTCCACAATAAACCACCAGACTCTTTTTGCCTTGGATAATGCAGCCTGTGGACATGAGAATAAAGACCTTTGACTGATCTCTACTAGCTGAAAAAAGGTGAGACACAAAGGAAAAGACCAAAAATCACAAGATCTCCCCGTCCGTGTCTCAGCAGCCGGAAGGAACCATGGCAACCTCACAGATCCTTCCAGGCCTCCTCCAACGGTTAGTACACTTCGTCTTTGTCCCTGCACCTCTCTCGGAGGCCCGGAATGCCCCGCCCCCTAAAGCCCCAAGCCCCGTTGGAATGAAGTACAAGCGACCAGGGTGGATGCCTGCATAATGCTTGTGTGATGGGTGCCTCTGGAGGAAATGTAATTCACTCTTCAACAACTTATCTAGCTCCTCTCAGATGGCAACAACCTTTAGGACTGGGAATAAGTTAATTATAAGATCTGCCAAAACGAAAAACTGCAACAATAAGTCCATGAGGCAGCTTGGACGCCACCCTCTTCAAGAACAGTTTCTGCTCCAGCAGGGGTCCAGCAATTATGAAATCACCATCCACTCACCTCCATCTGGGTCGTCAACGACGCCACCGCTGCAGCCATCACGCGGACTCTGGGCCGTGCAGGACTGGAATAGGGGAGCAACCACCGCCCAGGCAACTTGGCTAACCCCTTACCCGTGCCCTGCCCAGGGCGGGCGACCCGGGGCCGCCGTCTTCTTAGACGAAATGGTGTACCAGGCCCAAGGCGCCGCTCTTGGCTACTGCGGGGCTCAAAGGCGAGTGGGGAGAGGCCGCGGCCCGGCGAGCAATCAGGGAACACGCCCGCTACAGGAGCTCTCCTTCGCACAGAGGTGCAACAGGAATCCCTCTTTCTTCCCTGCTCAGTCCTGAGAAGAAGCCTAAAACATGCTCCCGGCGCGGGACCTCAGCAACCAAAAACCACTCTGGACCAAGGAAAAGGGAAAATGGCGACAGCGGCGAACAACCCGGAAGTCCCGCCTCCGCCGGCGTGAGCCGCAGGAAACCGCCCGGCACCCTCCTGGGGCAAGATGCACAGCCTTCTGGGTAATGTGGTTTCTTGGTATACTGTTCGCCCTCGCCGGTTTTCTCCGAGTGGAGGGCGCCAGAGCACCCAAGCGTGTTCTGATTCACCTATTACGTTGGGCTTACCACAGGATGTGGGAGTGCCAGAACCAAGGGGACTGTCCGTTCTTCGCTGGGGGAAATCGAGGTTCGGGCAGCAGGGACATCTGGTGTTCAGGCTCTCTGCGCGTCTGGTGACAGTCCCCTGACCGATACCTCCTCCCCGGATCAACACATGGGCGGACAGGCGAAAAAGCAGCCGAACAACCAATATACGTCAGGATTTCTCCCTTTATTGTCCAAAAGGTACTGTAATACATTAAGAATCCTACGCTTGGGGTGGCGCCTGCAGCTCAAGCGGCCAAAGCGCCAGCCACATACACCAGAGCTGGAACGTTCGAATCCGGCCCGGGCCTGCCAAACAATGACAACAACAACAACAACAACAAAATAGCCGGGCGTTATTGCGGGCGTCTGTAGTCCCAGCTACTCGGAAGGCTGAGGCAAGAGAATCGCTTAAGCCCAGGAGTTTGAGGTTGGTGTGAGCTGTGACGCTACAGCACTCTATCAGGGCGATAGCTTGAGGCTCTGTCTCCAAAAAAAAAAAAAAAAAAATCAAAAGAATCTTAAGCTTGTCTAGGCGCCCATAGCTCAGTGTGGTGGGCGCCGGCCACATCCCCGGGGCTGGCGGGTTCGAACAAGGCCCGGCCTGCTAAACATCAATGACAAGTACAAAAAAAAAAAAAAAAAGTATATATCTGGGCGCTGTGGCGGGCACCTGAGGTCCCAGCTACTCGAGGGGCTGAGGCAAGAGAATCACTTGAGCCCAAGAGTTTGAGGTTGCTGTGAGATATGACGCCATGGCCCTCTAACGAGGGCAGGAGAGTGAGTGAGAAACTATCAAAAAAAAAAAAAAAAAGTTATAGGCTTTTTAAATTTCTAAAAAAGAACTTTACAAGATAAGGAGAAAAGAATCCTTATTTCTCTGCACCTGCGAAGAAAGCAGATGTAATCAGTCATCAGTCTCTATAGAAGCAAAAGCTTAGAAATGAGTGATGGGAACTATAAACTGGGAAAATAACCCCTAACCTCTGAAAGATCTGTTACTCTGATTGATTTCCTTACTTAATATGCATTTTATGGTAATGATATATTTTTTTCCCCTTAAAGGTGTAAAGCCCTAATGAAATTACTATGTTAGCCAGAAGTGCATCCACTGGCATTCTACCATGGGCAGAATAACTGCAGATTCCTTAGATAAACAAAAAGCATGATAGTTATTCATTCATGTTAATAGCCAACCTCTTCTGGGTTTTATCTCTAATAGGGTTATTTTTTTTTTGTAGATTATTTGGGGATTTCTATATATTAGATTAGGTCATCTGCAAATAAACAGATTATTATTTTTTCCTTTCCCATATGTGAATGCCTATTTTTTTCCTTGCCTAATTGCCTTAGATAGAACTTTCAGTACAATATTAAACAGAAGTTGTGATAGTAGACATCTTTGCTTTCTACTTGCTCTTGGGGGAAGTCTTTAGTCTTTTACCACTAAGCTGATGTTATCTGTGAGATTTTCATAGATAGATGCCCCTTACCATGTTGAGGAAGTTCCTTTCCATTCCTAGTTTTCACTTTTTTTTTTTTTAAGCCAGGACATTTATTGCATGACTAATTGTTGAAATTTTTAAGATAAACTGGATGCTGGAACAGCTGCCCTCTTGGGTTCAGGTATCGTTCCTTCATAGAATTGATGCTTGAGTCTGCAGTATACAATTTTTAGGTGCCTTATTCAACCTTATTCAACCAGTGCCTTACTCAACCAGTGCCAGTGATATTTCATCTTTTGCCTTGGAATTCCAGTTATACTACCTCTTGCACGTGGCAGGATAAACAAATAGGCTTTTGAAGGTGGTAGGTCTTAGAGCCACAGTGGCAAAACAATGTGTGCATCTTTTTTTTGTTTGTTTTTTTGCAGTTTTTGGCTGGGGTTGGGTTTGAACGCACCACCTCAGGTATATGGTGCCGGTGCCCTACTCCTTTGAGCCACAGACACAGGCCCACGTGTGCATCTTTGTATGATGATGCTTTCCAAATAGTATTCCCTTTGTCATCTTCTCCCTATTCCTAGATTATTTTTGGTGGGGGTGGGGGGTTATGGAGAAAGGGTGTTGGATTTTGTCAAATGTTTTTCTGCATATATTAAAATCATGTAGGGTAGGGCAGTGCCTGTGGCTCAGTGGGTAAGGCGCCAGCCCCATATACCGAGGATGGTGAGTTCGAATACAGCCCCGGCCAAACTGCAACAAAAAAAAAATAGCTGGGCATTGTGGTGGGTGCCTGTAGTCCCAGCTACTTGGGAGGCTGAGGCAAGAGAATCGCCTAAGCCCAGGAGTTGGAGGTTGTGAGTTGTGACGCCAAGGCAGTCTACCAATGGCGATAAAGTGAGACTCTATCTCTATAAATAATAAAAAACAAAAAGGGGGTAGTGCCTGTGGCTCAGTGGGTAGAGTGATGGCTCCATATGCTGAGGGTGGCTGGTTTGAACCTGGCCCTGGCCAAACAGCAAGAAAAAAACAGCCAGGCGTTATGATGGGCACCTGTAGTCCCAGCTACTCAGGAGGCTGAGGCAAGAGAATCACCTAAGCCCAAGAGCTGGAGGTTGCTGTGAGCTGTGATGGTACAGTACTCTACAGAGGGCAACATAGTGAGACTCTGTCTCTAAAAAATAAAATAAAATAATTTTAAAAATCATGTAGGTTTTTTTTATTTGTTTTGTTTTTTTTGGTGGTGGTTCCCTGATTCTGTTAACATAGTGCAACTGATTTTCTCATTTGGAGCCACCTTTGCATTCCTGGGCCAAATCCCACCCTATCACATTGTATAATACTTTTCACATTTTGCTAATATTTTTTTGAGAATTCTTGTGCCTATATTCGTAAGACATATTAGTCTACAGTGTTCTTGTAATATTTTTGTCTGGATTTATTATCAGAATAGTATTTGTCTCATAGAATAAATGTAAATTCTTCTCTAAGTGTTTGGTAGAATTCACCAGTAAAGCCATATTTCCTTGGATTTTTTTTTTTTTTGAGACAGAGCCTCAAGCTGTTGCCCTGGGTAGAGTGCTGTGACATCACAGCTCACAGCAACCTCCAGTCACTCAAGCAATTCTCCTGCCTCTGTCTCCCAAGTAGCTGGGACTACAGGAGCCTGCCATAGCGCCTGGCTATTTTTTTTTTTAAGAGCCAGTTTCACTTTGTCACCCTCTGTAGAGTTCTATGGCATCACAGCTCACGGCAACCTCTAGCTCTTGAGCTTAGGCGATTCTCTTGCCTCAGCCTCCCGAGTAGCTGGGACTACAGGCACCTGCCACAACACCTGGCTATTTTTTTGTTGCAGTTTGGCCAGGGCCAGGTTTGAACCTACTACCCTCAGTATGGGGCTGGTGCCCTACTCACTGAGCCACAGGTGCTGCCCAAACCCAGCTAATTTTGGTTGTAGTGGTCATTGTTATTTGGCAGGCCCAGGCTGGATTTGAACCTGCCAGCTCAGGTGTATGTGGCTGATGCTTTAGCTGCTTGAGTCACAGGTACTGAGCCTTCCCTGGACCCTTTTTTTTGCAGTTTTTTGGCCGGGGCTGGGTTTGAACCCAGCACCTCCAGCATATGGGGCCGGTGCCCTACTCCTTTGAGCCACAGGCACCGGCCTATTCATGGAGTTTTTTTTTTTGCAGTTTTTGGCTGGGGCTGGGCTTGAACCCACCACCTCTGGTATGTGGGGCTGGCGCTCTACACCTCTGAGCCACAGGTGCTGCCCATTCCCTGGACATTTTAATGTGTGTGTTTTTTATTACTAATGAAATCTCTTATGTGTTTATTCATGTTTTCTTTATTATTCAGTTAAGTTTTATAGATAGAGTCTTTCTAAGAGTTTGTTGATTTTATTTAGGTTACCTAATTTTTTCATATACAGTTTTTCATAGCATTTCTTCTAATACTTAAAACAAATTTTTTTCTATAGGGTTAGTAGTGTCCCCTGATTTTTTTTTTTTTGTTCAATAAAGTTTTATTTTTCCAAAATAAAAAACCTGGTTGGACCTGTAAAAAAAATTTAAATATGGAACACATCACAAATTTGCATGTCGTTCTTTCACTGGGGCCATGCTAATCTTCTCTGTATTGCACTTCATTCCTGATTTTATGAACATTTATATTTTTTCTTTTTTCTCAATTATTCTAGCTTAATGTTTGTCAATTTGTTGTCTTTTCAAAGAACCAATTTTACTTTCATTGATTTGATTTCTTTATTTTTTTAATTTATTATTATTATTTTTGAGACAGAGTCTCACTATGTTGCCCTGGGTAGAGTGCCGTGGTGTCACAGCTCATAGCAACCTCAAACTCT